GTGCATCACGAGTGCACACTCGTCACTTCCTGTCATTCCTAAGTACGAGGAAGGTGCATCACGAGTGCACACTCGTCATTTCCTGTCGTTCTCAAATACGAGGAAGGTGCATCACGAGTGCATACTCGTCACTTCCTGTCATTTCTAAGTACGAGGAAGGTGCATCACGAATGCACACTCGTCATTTCCTGTCATTCCTAAGTACGAGGAAGGTGCACACGAGTGCACACTCGTCATTTCCTGTCGTTCTCAAGTACGAGGAAGGTGCATCACGAGTGCACACTCGTCATTTCCTGTCGTTCTCAAGTACGAGGAAGGTGCATCACGAGTGCACACTCGTCATTTCCTGTCATTCGTAAGTACGAGGAAGGTGCATCACGAGTGCACACTCGTCACTTCCTGATCTTGAGTACTACAGTGAGAACGGTGCAATAAAGATTGCACGCTTATTTGTCGTATCTATTCCTAGGCTTCCCATCAGCCAGAGGCGCCGGCTCCGCGACGGAGGCGGCGGACCCGACGTGGGGGCAGGAAGCACTAACTGAAGGCCCTTCAAAGAACCTACGCGCGCACCGGGTCTTTCGACCCCGCGGTACTTGACACTACTTGCGTGACTGGTACGGAGGGACGCGCCGCGAAGTTTTCACACGACAAGTACAGTGGAACGCGCCGTTAACCAAGTGCCGCAAATTATTAGTAACGAGAGGTTTACGGGAATGGGGGTGGGGGATTACGATTACTTGACCAACCCCACGGATGTGTTGTGCGCCAGGTGCTCGCAAAATTTAACGATATATCGGCCGGTAGAAAAGTGCGAGAAGTGCCACTTTGCCTACATTGATTTTATCGCGGAACACACCGACGATTTTTATACGCTCCAGAACCCCACGGTGTACATACGTGACGGCCTTTTGATTTAATCCGAAACAGAAGATCCTATCTCACCTCCCGGTCATATCTTCATTCTCCGCCCCGGTAAAGCCCCAGAGTTGACCAAAAAGGGAGGACGTACGTCCGGCAGGTGTAAACGGCCGCAAGACCGTGACCCGGCCTCTGGGACGTAACATACGGACAAAAATTTTGGTAGCAGCGGTCGGGATAACGCTGAAGATATCCGGGAGAAGGTCGGCCAAAATTCGTAGGGTTAATCACTATGTCACGCACAGATTCAGTAAAGGAGTTGACGATTGCAGCCGCCCAGGAGTACGAGCGGCAGTTAACAGAAAGAGAAGCAGCAATTTGGGCCAAGGAAATAGAAGTACAGAACCAACTCGCGAGATTACAAGAAATTGATACACCCCGAAGGTTCCGGGTCCTCGACGCGAGCGAGCAACCCGAGCCAATCTTCCGTCATGGTGCGAGCTCTCCCAGAGCATCAACGGACATTGATACCTTGCGAGCAGAGATAGAATTACTCAAGCGAGAGTTAAGGAGAAATCGAACTCCTGCCGC